TCAAATATCTTGAGATCTTTATTGATCAAGTCTTAAAAAAAAATATTATTGACTGTATTTAAGGAATAACTGTCTTATTTTTGGAATTCAGGAAGTGATAAAACGATTTGCTTGCGTGATAATTTTCAAAAACGCCGAAAGCGTTTATGTATAAAATTATTACGCAAGCCAATCGATTGATCATCTTCATGAAATTGAAAAATCTGACAGTTATTCCTTATATTTGCATGCTTTGATTCCGCCAATCCACGTGCTCTAAGCCCTGCTTCGTCTACAGTAGCTGTTTGCTCCGACCCTGCACGTGTTTTTTTTGGAACCGCGCCAAAACATTGATGGGGAAATTACATTTACAATTGGTAATTTAATCTCGGACAAAGACATTGGAAATGTAAATATTAGTTTGTAGATACCTCATCGGTTTGTGTCCCTTCGTTCTCCACAGTATATATAGTCTGCGTATATTTGTCAATGGATTCAGGACACACAGTCTGCAAGCTTATCTGGAAGAGAAACATTACAAGACTATCTTTAGTGATCTAATGATCTTTCTTTTTTATATGCAATAGAAGCATGCACATTCATGCATTGGTCTTAAACCATTTTAATCTTAGTAAATTGAGAAGCATGATATCGGTACCTTCATTGTAATAGTTTTCATAAAAATCCTTTAGACTTACTTCCTTTGTGTGAACGTAACTCTTTGTTCTTGGCTCTTCGAATTTTTTAGACGCAGTTGTATCAATGACATTTTCCTGAAAAAGCAACATAGCAGCTTAATTAAATTTGTTTCATAGGATGTCTTCAAAATTGTCATATTTCTTACTCAGAATGTAGACGTAGGTTAATTTCACATTAATAAGCGGAATGTATCTTTACAACTGTACATGCCTGGTTAGTATTCAGATGTTGAGAACTGTCACTCTCACCCAAAGCCATAAGTGGACTCTATATTTTAAAGTCGAAAATGTGTATTAGTATATGTGATATGTAATAGTGTTTGATCTAGACATAAGAAAATATGGAGGGTATTTAATTTATCATCGCTGCTATGTATCTGAAATTAGGGAGAGAACTTAGTGAAAATAAAAAAAATCTTATTAAAGATATCATTTTGCAAATGAAGTAAAACAACAAAGATGATGTCTCATGGTTTCTACAACCCTTAGCGCCTTAAACCTGGCTTTTCGTAATGCCGAAAAAAAATTGATACACTGTAACACACGATTGCAAGATGTTGTTGAAAGCGATTGCGAGTTTGCAAATTTTAAAAATATAAAAGTAACAAGTTTGTGACAATACATCCCTTTATCTTAACAAAATACTGGAAGAGAAAACTATCTAAAAGAAGAAAGTCCTAGGAAAAAATTGAAGAAAAGAAAATATAAATGCTAAGCAAGATTCAAACAATCAAAGCATGGCTTGCGGCGCAAAATTGGACAAAAAAGACACTAAAACATAAAAATTTTTAAAGGGATATTTGACATTGTTGTCATTAAGATTTATCTCTCTATAAGAGTATCGATGTACCTTGACAATGCAATTATTTTACTATAATTTTACATTTTGTAAAACGACGTCGTCAGTAAAAAAAAATATATTTGAATATACATGTGGAAAATATTGCGGAGTGTATTTTCTATAAAGCGCTATAAAAAGCTTAAAGTGTTTTTTTTAGATATAATTATGTGTGGATTATTTCATACAATACTAGTAATGGACTATAGTTCACGAAAAACAATTCCAATGAAAGATTAAATTTACTAACCTGCGCCTCTTCATCATTGACTTTGCTTTTTCTTTCGTCTTCAAACTGTCGTGTACGAAATAAAATCTTTAAATCATTAAAATCGTACACATGTACAACAGCATATAGTATCAAAGAATTAATTACCATTGTAAGCAGGAATAAATTACTTTTCTCATTTTTTAAAATAAATATTTCTATTATATCTCCAATCAGAATAACAATTTTTGGCATGGTCGTCTGTCTTTGAAGGTATCATATAGGATAAAGTTAAGTTAGTTTTGGACTGATTGAAATGTATTTAAATTGTAGTAAGTTGTTGCTGCGATGAGTGTATGATTATTTCATGGTTTTGTCTAGAGGCTATAACTAAGTGATCATGGTCTTAAAAAATACAGTAGTTAAATGTTTCCTTTGTCATAAAGGAATTACGATTTATTCAAATGGGTACATCAATAAAATTGTAACTAGCCGTAACACTTCCATAAATTTCTAAACTTGCTCGGCAATTACATCTATCATTAAGGAAAAGAGCTTACCCGAAACGTGTCTTTCCCACACTCTTTGGATATATTCTAAACAAAATATTAATGAATACAAATATTGTTGATACGGTTGAATCATTTTCTTTTTTTTTTCAGAAAGTCTAAAAACAGTTTTTCAGAAATAGGAACATGCATTAGACTTAGATGCATTTATTCATACAATTTATCATCCTTCAGCACATACCTTGCTCACTATCTCTGTACATGTATGTGCCTCTAAATCAGTTGATATCTATAAAGTGACAAAAGGAAAGTGTCGACGTTTTTACTTGTCATGTATATACGTTTACCTTTTTTGGTTCCTTCAAAATCATACATTTTTAAACTATGATACATTGGGGCACATAAATTATGATTTTTCTACTGAATATTTTTTTTTAATTATGATTTTCGTTATTATTGTATAAATTTATAGCTCGAACATTTAAATAAATGCTTGAATTTGATGTTCAAATGACATAAATATTACATTTCTTGATTTCCACTTCTTTTTCCAATACAAGGAAAGGCAAAGGAGACATAAAATCAGAAGGACTATAACCGGAATCTGCAAACAATATAAAGTTATATTAGTTCCTTATGCTTGCAGCTTTATTTAAACAAAATATTTTAATCCATACAATATCCATATAATATTTTATTGGTATCTTGTCTACATGGCTAAAGTAGTCTATCTCTCTCATTTAAGAAAAATATTACCACTTTCTTGCAATTGAAAAATATTACATCATCAAAGGTATAATAAATGTAGAGTCCTACTTACAGTTTATTTCTATGTGGTTTTAAGTAAAAACTAACATTTTAACAAGTATTCGGGAAATTAATTTAACAATACATGGAGGCAAAATATTTATCTTTATATAGATTGAAGCTTATTGATACTCTCATAACATACCAAAATGTTAAAAATTATAGTTAAATTGTTTTATTAAAAAAAAGATGCTTAGAATGAACTACCTATCTTTATTTAATCGAATATTATTAAGTGTATACTAATTCTCTTTGTGCTGTTCGTATATTTGAAGCATATAAATATGTATGTATTCTACATGAATGAATTTTTCAAAATTAATGGTTTATGAAAATGTTAAAAATTTGATACTTACAAAAACACATAGTAGAATTATGCTCAAAGGTTCCATTGTCTCTACAACTTTTGTCGATCAGATGATCCAGTTTGTATCTTAAAGATTTACGTGCCTGTGATAGTGTGTAAGTCTGTAGTAAAGACTACATTTTCTGAAAACTAATCATTACCAAGAAAAATAAGTGAAAACGAAACCAATTTTGCAGAAAAATGGATTTATGGTTCTAATGATATTCAATAGATCAGGCAAAATAAAATAATTTCTTTTGGAAAAGCATATGAATTTATATTTATTCAATGCATATATTAAATTCTATTAATCCATTTTGTTTGTTTTTATAAATGTATTTATACATATTTGTCGAGTCACATAATTGTATAATCTGAATTCCTATTTTTTAAATATTAAGTGACTTTAAGATCTGACTTACATTTTTACATGTACCATCTAATACATGTTAACACCATCCTGATCATTCACAATTAATATGAAACTTAAAGAAGAGGAATTCCTAATGTCAGATTATGTCTACTTTCTGTTTCATTATTTCTGACAGTCTAGTATATGTACCTCTTACATGTCACTTCAATACCTTTATTAACTTCAACAACAATTAATTAATATAATAATTATTATTTATAGATGCATAAGAAGCGTAACATACGGTAATTTATCTTATTGATGGAAACATCCTTATAATTATGGGCTATCAGAAAAAAAAGTCACGAAACCTGATAAGCGGGTATGTAATAGAAGCACTGAATTAGTTTTTCGGGAAAATTAGTCCTTTTTGTACAAACTTCAACTATCCGATAAACAGATATATGATTGATCTGAGTATTTTAACCAAGTAACATATAAAATTAGAATAAAAGAAAACTTTATTAATTGTATGAACATGTGCACGATTCTTTGTTTTTCGGAAGTTTAATTCAATCTTGAATTAAAAAATGTTAAGGTAGAATCTATGTCGGAATAGTCTTTGTCACATAGTTTTCAAACTTTTTTTTTAGAATGTTTAGGTAATACTCGCTTATTACTCAGTTAAACGCTCATGACACGTTTCCTTCTTATTAAATGCAATGCAGCCTCTAAAATTTGGAATGATATTTACAGTCCACGACTGTACATACTCAGTTATTTTAGGGATACGCATCATGAGCATCATGGTTAATAGACTTCATTAACATACCGTATTAGGCAATACTGACAGGAAAGATGAGCCCACATTAAAAAAACAGTATAGGAAATTGAAGTCAATTCTCTGAAGTCAATTCTCTTAAGTCAATTTTCCACCTTAAATTTGTAAATATTTTTCAGGTCTTTTCATTTGGCAGAATGTTTTCAAACTAAAAAAAGATAAAGAACATACCAAAAATGATAACTAAAAGTGATTTATACCTTTCCCCATAAACTTTAAGAGATAAGCTATTAACTATTGCCTCCTTTCTCGACCTTTTTGCAGTTATACAGGCTTTAATCATTAAATTGCTGTATCGTGTTACTGTCTGTTAATAATGTAAAAACAAAAACTGTATTGTATTTTTTACAAAGATCATATTTGATAGAATCATTTTTTTTCAAACATAAACCCTAAAAAATACACATGAAAAATCAACAAAATAATCACAAGAAGGTATGCACATCATTTAAATTATGGTAGACATTGCAAAAATTACACTCAATTCTCCTCACAAATCATTAACTCAGACACTTATTATCGAGGTTTTATACTTTTCAGTTGGCAACTGAAGATTTCTTATTGGATGAGATAGTCTTTGATTTGGCCACTTAAAATCAAAATCTAGTAAAAGAAAAGGTACCTATAGCTTTTTCAAATTTCAGCAATGAATAAAGTCATTTAGCTTTTCAACCGAAAATATATAAATTGAATATTGGAATTCACATTAAAATTTTCTACAATTTTTATGAAACTGAAAAGTACAGGAATTGAAACATTAAATTAATTATGTTGTGAAAATGTATCTAGCACATGCTTATCACATTCACTAGATATGATTCCATACGAAGTAGGTTCTACGTCAAGAAAACCATAGTTATGTATTTGACAACATATCTCTGCTGTAATGTTGTGACATCATGGTATATCAAAGGGTATGCAATTAAAAATCTAGATGTATGCATCTTTTTGAGATTGGTACAAGACGCTTTGGTGAAAAATTGACCTATCATATGTGCAGTCAGAAAATTATTGAATGTATATTACATTAGATAAGTTAAAAGTTAATCATTCTAATCAATCATTTTTAAATATATAGATTACTAGATGATTCTCCATGGGTGATAAAAGAAATCAACACATATTTTTTTTTATTCTCACACAATGAAAAAGATATGATAACACTGTATTCTTTTTCTTAACAATTTTCTACTTTGTTTGACAGTGTATTCATCTAAATGTTTTTTGTACCTACTTTCTCTAAAATCTTTGAAAAAAAAAAATTATATTTCTTTTAAATGGTATCTTATTCTAAATCAATCCATCGATTGGATAGGTGCTACAACACATCTTCCATCAAATTCACCACAGGGGAGTTTTCCATCTCTGGCAACTTTCAAACATGCAAAACAGAACTCAGTTTTACAGAATGTGCACAGCATTGATTTGCAAGCTTGATCATGCTGTAGCAATGTTTTGCAATTTGGACATAGACGTTTTGAAGGCACATCACCCATATTAGAATAGTCAAGTGTTATTCTTGGACAATGTAACAGTTGACTGAGAATTTCTACATTATTACCATACTCACTGGACAAGACACATTCATGACTGAATGACCATTCCTCCATACAATACCAACAGAATTTGTATGTGTAATATAAATCATTTGAACATTTTAAACATTTCACATGAGATTCACAACTTCTTATTTTCTTACAATATGAGCCACATTTAGGGCATGTTTTAATATCATCACTATTTCGTCTGTTCAGATAATTAAAGGAGAGTTTTGCACTAAAAAATATATGTTCGTCAAGAGATAGCATGCATTTCTCTAATATTTCTTGGTTATCCCATATCTGATTGCAAATGCCAAAATCTGTTTTAGCAGGACACCATAGAGTGTGCTCATTTTGAAGAATTTTCTCTCGAACAAGTCCGTATAAATTGTCCGGTGCTGCAAAACAAAAATCATAGTATATGTATTCTGTGAAGGAGAACTTACATCTAATATGCATAAAATATGTTTATTTATATGTAATAGATATAAATGGTAAGACAAAGATGGGTTTAATGAAAATATTTCCCCTTCTATACAGTTGCAGGTTCTCTTTGACTATTAAATTCTTGACTGTTATATTAAACTCTTTACTGTTACATAGTAGTTTAAATACATGTATAAATACTTATAGCATGGCCACATGGCAGCTCTAGTCTGGGATCAGACTCGTATTCCCAAACAATGTCGGGTTTTGTTGAGGTGGGGAATCCAGAAACAGGACGACTCTCTGCCCATACCATTACGTAGAATGGATCGTGCAGGACATCACTTGTTGTTTCCGTATCATAAACAAAGAAGTTATCCATGTTAACAATATCTATTAGCCAGTATTCTGTTCCAAGTGTCGAAGCCACCGTCTGCCTCATTTCTCCTACAGTAGTACCCTTCAACAAAATGTATATTGTTAAGATGCATTATGGTTCATTTAAAAAAGTGTAATTGTAGACATGATGGTTATTAATGTAAACAAATTACTAGTTGTGGGCATATCAAAAATTTAATACTATTTTTGTAAAATGAGTTTGTATAAAAACGCACTGTTGTTACTTTCAGCATTAAGAATATACTTGAGTTTCATACAGGTATTGACCTTTGCTTGGTATCATAAATTAAAAAAAAACACTTATGCACAATTAATATTCAAACAGTCACAAAGAAAGCCTACCTTATTGATTCGGTACTGATGTTCAGATGATAAGGTTTTAAAAGTAATACTTTCCGCCTCTGAAATCATCATTGTTTTGTAAATGACAGAAACTGATATGGAAGAGATATGTCTATGTTTACTCAAGTTACAGTTTACTTGACAGCAAAGACATGTATAACACTGACGTCAGACCAATTTCTGTGAAAAAGAAACGAAAACAAAAATTGCTTTTAAATAGTTCCTGAAAATAAAAGACTCGGGTTGTGTCAGTTATTTATAAAACACAGTAATTTAAACTATATTTAGAATGGGATTTTCAACCTTTATACTTTCTTAAAAATAGAATGCTTGTATACAGAGAAATCTATTTTCACTTTTCATTTCTATATTTCATTTCACAGAGTTACAACTACTAGATGTACAAGCAAGATGTCTCTCACAATATTTGTGAAAATGTCAACAAGAAATAAATCAGAAACTATCTCTGTTCAGAAGGTATGTAATCAACATAGTAAAATATTTTACATGATAGTCGAAAATATCTCGAATTAAATTGCAGTAAAATTGAAAATAATAATTTTGTAGACCGACGAATTTCTCAGAATATTTGAGACACTAGCTGGAAGGGTAGGGATTGAGCTACAACATATTCGGTTGACATTTAGTGGCAAGGAATACAGACATGACCAACCAGAAGCTCGCAAAAGAATAGAAGACATTGGAATTAAAGATCGCTCAACTCTATTCATGGTGTCGAGACTACCAGGAGGATATCTGTGATTATAGATTTCGTTTTGTAGAATCTGATGAAACTTTTGAATATTAACATGTCTTGTTTACAAAAGAAGTCAAATGACACTTTGTGTTGATATTATTTTTTTATCATCATAGAAAAGGACTAAGAAAAACATACGTATCCCTCTCTGCAAAAATGTACATAAATATTTATATTTTCATATATGTGCAAAAATGTGTACACATATTAATTTTTTAGAAATTTAACGAGAAAAATAAAATAATTGGATACACAAGCATTGTGAGTAGGTACGTGATTTATGACGAGTTGTACACAACTGCATTATTTTTTAAAGTTATATAAATGGTAATTGAATACTAAAATACATATGTAGATATCTCACCGCTAAAATTAATGAAATTATGAACGATTATTGATTCATAAGAAGCAACATTTCCGCAGTGTTAAAACGTTGAATTTTGTTCAAAAAATTAACTGTATTGTAGATTAGAAGTCTTTAAATATGGTCAAATTTGAGAAGAAAGTCAGTCTTACAGCTAATGTATGTATATTGGTATTATGACATCATCAACTGCCTCATCGTTATTGTTTGTAGAACCTTATCACATATATCTAGTGTCTAATTTCATTTTCCATTGATATTCTAAAAGAGCGAATCTCAAGATAAAAAGAATAAAATGTAGGAATATGCCGATTGAATTTAGGATCATGGAGTTTGCAAGAAAATCAAGTGATAATAAATAATTTGCATTTCTATACACTTTATTATCCCTACTTGATAATTGTGTTTGAAACTGATCATTGCATGTGACAATTCATTATAGATTATTTTCAAGCCCCAAAAAATTAAAGCTTGTTCTTTATTTTTACTTTCTTGGATTGTTATTGTAGATAAAAAGGGTCCGTGATATTTTGTTTTCTATTGATGATATTAAAATGAAGTACAGTAATGAAACCGCTGTTACATATCTTTGCTGCCGTTTACAAAATGATTAAGAACAAATTATGCTCATACTACATCCTAAGAATATCATAAAGGTATTGTTCATAATAAACGTTTTGTAATAAATCTTCATTTGGTTCAGTTCAGATTTCAGTGCGGAGTTTCTGACTAATATTATTTGTTAAATTAAACAAAATAATGTTTCAATGGAATAAACATATATCATGTATGAAGCAAAGGCCAAGACTGATAAATGTTTAAATACATGTATCTTATACCATTGATAGATTTTAAATACCCAATTTATATATTTTTTTTTTATGTTTGGTAACTTTAAGGTTAGTCTACTTTCGCTTTCGCTTTCATCATTCGTAGAATCTTCTCCCCTTTATGCTGTTTCCAAACAGAGGTAAGATATTTCATTTAATAAAAAAAGGATATGAAATGCCATATTATCTCCTCTATTTTAAAAAGGAGATATATTCTGAAAACTTAAAAAAGGAAATTAATTGTACTACAAACACATATTTACATGTTGAGGTATGCTGATTAGCAACGTAAATGCGAATAATAAAATGTTCCTTTTTTCTTTTAAACTCAGAATGGTATTCATATCAAGTAGAATTTTAGTAAATAAATAGTGTATATCTGAAGATGAATTGTGACAGCATTTTATTATTTATCTTTTATAGAGTTCATACAAGATGTCAAATAAAAGGTATACTTTTTTCACATTTTTTAAATAAGACAAAAATTATACTTAAATGTCTTTGATATTGAAAATATTGGATAAATCAAAGTATCAAAGTAATTCCTACAGTATGGGCGGCGGAAAGGGCAAAAAAAAAGACGTTATCAAAAAACTGACAACTGATTTTTAAAGCATACCTTAGAAACCAAATAAATAAACAGACTCATTTACAAAATAAACATACTGATCAATGCATCTATCGTTAATTCAGTGAATGATTGTTGGTTTTGCATCGCTGATCGTTGGTTCTGCATCGGAGTCTGTTGATTTTCTTAATTGAGTCTGTCAATTTTGTTTTTAAGTATGTTTTTAAAATTTGTGATAGTTTTGCATTGACGTCTTTTTTACCCTTTCCGCCGATCAAACGTAAGCCATATATAAACAATAACTTTCCTTAAAAGCTTACAAAATATATGTAAAAACATTTTTATTAATTGATTCAATATTTTAGATATCTTTCCGATAATTTAATCGGGAAAAATATTCCTTTCATTTCCTAAAGTAATAAATTTTGACGATGAATCTGTTTTATAATATTACATATTGTTATTTATTTTTTAAAACACAAGTTAAAGATTTCATGTCAAGCGTAAGATCAAGCAATGATGTTCAATTGAGTTTGAGAAATTTAAGTCTATAACCAATGTATTGTTTTAAATTAATGTTAAAGGTGTCATTAAGATTAAACTTTTAGAATCATCTCCAGACCTCCGAAATACTCTCGACGTTTACAGATTAATCAACAGTTTGAAAGGTTAAATATAAATGGTAGGAAGCTAATTTTTGTATTTATTTTTAAAATGCTGGAGAGAAAAAAAAATGAAATTCTTTTTTTTTTGATAATGTATGCTTCAAATAATGTAAGTAAGTGTCGTACATCAAAATTGCTTTAAATTAATGATGGTTTTTACGGATGTTTTTGTTTTATTTTAAGATATTGACACAACCCTAAAGGTAAATAAGACCATCAATTGCTTTTGTTCCTAAAAACGAATAAGTATATATATGAATAACCGTTCTTTTAGGATATATACGCGTGCATATTGTTGTAGACAGGCATCAATCATGGAAATAAATGTGCAAATCTTTTACGAAGAAATGGAACTGGCTATTCAATCCATGCCAAGAATGATATAAACAATGCCCAAGTATGTATTTTTGATTCAACATTATATTTAGAATAAACTTGCGTATACATTGGAAATTGAAATAAATAAAACCTTTTGATCTTGTAACTACGATTTTGTTTAGGAACTTACAACAAAAATATCAAACGGGAAGCAAGATACAGAGAAGCCAGGTCAAGAGCGTAGTTCGTTTCTTCCAAATGTATACAGTACTGACTTGGATTTCAGGACATACAGTCGACAGGTAATGTTATATTTTACCAGTAAATTGACTTTTAATTTTGACCTGTTGTTTACTAAATTCTTAACCTTTTTAAAATATGAAAAATAAACGCTTAAATTTCATCAATGTCTAATAGTAAGTTTTTCAAACGAAAAGTGGGTCAATAATAGAAGTCAAAACTATGAAAAAAGCTCCATTAAGAAAGAAGATAAAACAGATTATCAAGAAATTCAGACACAAGTAGAGGGACAAAACACAAAAGAAGAGACAACCTATGTATGTGTTTCTTATTCTTAACAAATGACACGTTTATAAAGATGATTATCACGATTTCACGAAAGAAGAAATGAAATATGAACAAAAACAATATAAGTCGACATATATGAAATTAAAATATTATTTGAACCTTATTTCTACATGAAGCTGCTTTTTAAATTGAAGAAATTAAATGCAATTCAATGCATTTCCAATCCATCCTTTTACATGAAAAAAAAAATCACTTCTCTATTTCGTCTTTTAGGCACGTGCATATCATACCAGTCCCTTTATTGACAGAGTTAATAGAGGCACAATATCCAATTTTAGTAATAACTTGCAGCACGATAGAATTTCCATAGATTGTAAAGAGTTTGAGAAACCCAAAACTCTTACAAAGGTAAATAGAAGTTTTGCATTCTTCAATAATATATGTAAAAATAAGTGTATTATAAACGATTTTGTCGAGAAGCTTTAAAGGAAGATTTGATAATTTTAAGTTACTTAAGTTGTCGCATATTTATAATAGCTAAATTTTTTATTGTATTTCTAAGGAAATGCATTAATCTTACAGGAACAACCTGTAATTTCAAACACAAAGGGAAAAATGAAAAGAAGAAAAACACCACAAGTATGTATGCTTTATCAAAGTTTGGCGAGAGATATGTTAAGAAAATAAAATGCGCTCAGTTTTAAGAAACTGCGAAAAGTTGTTTATCTTATTTAGGTCACTCGGATATTTTAAAAATTTTATTTGGTCTTCAGTCTCGAAAGATATATAGGACATACTGACAAGAAAAAAAAATTATATTCATTGTCCTTTAATCAAATAAAGTCTGAAATATGGGAAAGGTCATGGAAAATTGTAGATAGGGTCATAAAGATGATAACAATGAAAATCACCTATATCTTAATTTGTAGAGCATAATAATCAATATATTCTCTGTATCATTGAAATCAAAAGAATTATTTCTTTTGAAAGGGTTTGCCAAACATTGGAAACACATGCTATGCTAATTCCCTCCTACAGGTAAGCATATTTGCAACATTTTAATAGTTTCTTTATTGAGTTTTTATTGATTGATTATTTTATTCATTTGTTTATTTATTTCTTATGTGATATTTTGCAAAGTTTATGCAAAGGAAAGAAAACAAAGTTGTGGAAACGCATAAATATTTCTGTGATTTCAGATACTGAGTGAGACTCCAGATTTATTCGAGGTAGTATTACTATGTGCTGAGAATAGTTCACCTGTGTATAATATGAAGGTAAATAGCTTGTTTTTTGGGGATACATTGAAAATAGAGTTTATGGTACAACATACATACATTTAAACTTCAATACACTTCAACTTTATGTCAAAGATTGCTAAACTCGTCTTCACAACAAGACATCTATTTGATATCTTTAGCATGAAATAGAGATATATTTTACATACGAAAAGTTGGATTGTATTTTAAATCTAGTATCTGATTTAAAGACTGAATGTTTACTTATTTTATAACAACAGACTTGAAATATGAAATTACGTTTTGAAATCTTCACCTTGTAATTCCCAAGCATTTACAGTCGTCTGCTTGGTGCAGCGTCTGCTCTTGAGTCACGGATAAAGGGGTCAGTCCTTACGACGCGGATTCAAATCCCAATGTGGGACGTGGAAACCGGTCCTTCGGATGAGGCCGTATAAACCAAGGCACCATGTTGCAGCACAATGTAGGTGCTGGCACGAAAAAGATCCCTCCCTGCTCTGAGTGCCGAGGACAGGTTCTCCACCAGCAAGTGGGGTTGCCTCCATATGAGTGAAACATTCTCGAGAAGAATGTTAAACAACATA